AAAAGTATTGCAATACAGTAAACAGAATAAAAAATAATATGTTTAGAACTACATCTTTAGTTTGTGGTGTTTTCCTGTTTCCATGCAGCTGCAGAGTTGCTGTGAACTGAAGTGACTGTGTCAAGGGCACAGTCTTTTTTTTTTCCACTCCAGTTTTGCATTGATTTTAATGACCCTCTCACACGGTTGCTCTCATTCGTTTGGACCGTCCTGCTCCCTCTCACACTGCTGTCACAACAGCCTCTTCCTCCTGTCAAAGATTCTCACATTTTCTTTCTTCCTCCAATAATATTTTAATATTTTGTGTGCATAGAAACAGTTACTGTTATAATTGGAACAGCTGCAGCTGCACTGGTACCGATGACTCTTTTAAAATGATCTTATTTTACAGAGAAGAACTCAGGAGGAAGATAAACTGCGATGGTAAAAACAGGGCTGAGATATCCCACAGATCCAGGCTCCAAAAAATGTCTTCAGTTTTAATAACAATAACAATGATCTAATAACAAAACACTTGCTTTTCAAATGTCCTTCTAATATTATTTCTTAGATAAGATTAGAATGAACGTTATTAATCTCACACTGGAGACATCTTTGAATAAACGTACAACCCTTTAATAACCGTGTCCCCTTTTTTCCAGGGGCTCAATATGCCAGCAATAGAGGGACGACTTCCTCCATGCACACCTCAGGCCTTTGGTCAGAACACCACACCCATCTGCACCAGCTCCATTCACCAGGCCCACTACAGGCTCCTGCCAGTACCGGGAAGCCGGTGGGCTCTTCTTATGGTCTCCTTGGGGTCAACAGTGGCTCTGCCTCCGGGGTCAGTCCAGTCCTTGCTTGGCATGCTGCCATTAACGCAGCACGACAGGCACAAGGGGACGCTGCAAAGCTGGAAACAGGTTCCCAGCCTTCAGTTTGCACCACTGGACCGGCTCCTGTAGGCTCACTGGCCCAGAGGAAGAGACAGCAGTATGCCAAAAGCAAAAAACAAGGAGGATCCACCAACAGCCGGCCACCCAGAGCTCTGTTCTGCCTCACTCTTAACAACCCCATCCGCAGGGCCTGCATCAGCCTGGTGGAGTGGAAGTATCCTTTATCCAGAGACAAAATGTCTTAATAGATTATGATCCTGTTGAAGTTTTACTTTAAATTCAATCATAATAATAGTCCACACAGTCAGATAGAATGTCTGATACTTTCCTTCTCTTCAGATAAAATATACAGTACCTTTTCTTAACTCCCTGTGTCCAGACCGTTTGATATCTTTATACTGATGTCAATTTTTGCCAACTGCGTGGCCTTAGCCATCTACATCCCTTTCCCTGGAGACGACTCCAACTCTACCAATCAAGAACTGGTGAGTAATGCTGGAACATTTAAAGAAAATAACCTGGCATTGTAAAGAACTGACAAGGCTTTTTTTGACTCAAAAGCCTCGCTATATGTAGTCCAGTAGCTGTAAGTGTCTGGACTGTAGGCTGTGTGATGGCACTAATCACTGTTACTGACTTTATTAATGAGTAGATAAATATGCCGCAGTTCCCCCATTTGTAAAAATACAAAACACTTAAAAACATATTAGCTCGCTGAAGTAGATTATGCTAGCTCATAGTAAAAGTGCCAGCATAATCCAAAACACTATTTTGTGATAAAAAACACTTGCAAATGCAAATGAAAACATTACATTGTTTTACAAGAGAGTCAACTAACAAATGACTAGGATTACATACTTTTTAAAGTAATTTGCACATCTGTGCTGCAGATGTTGATTTTTTTCACATGCTAACTGAGCTGCTGCTGCCTGTGTCGCTACACATTTGTCATCTGCCCGTTTACACACAATGGCAAAACACCACACCTTTGCGCCAGTGTGAATGATGCCACAGAGGGATTTCCTGTAAACATTAGGATGCATGTGTCAGCTTTCATTATTTTGTTGACGCATGCAAACATTACTGGCACACTGGTTTGAAAATGAAATATTTTCCTTATTTCTGTAGCAAATATTTGTACCCTGCAGAAAACACAGCTTCTGTTCCATTCTGTATTCTTAAATCCCTCTGTATTGGACAATGCAGCTGTTTGTTGTTTTTGGAGCCTGCAGATCTTTGCTGTTGACATGTTGATGAGTTTTGATTTGATGTAAGGAACACCAGGTTAAAGAGAGAAGAAGAGTTTTTCAGCATGTGCACAGTCGCATGTGTCCGTGTGTGTCTGTTGTGCATGTGTTTGTGTGTGCGATCAGGTTGAGGGATTAAGTAGGGCAGTGGATTAGTGGAAACGCAAATGAGTGGAGGTCAGAGAGAATGTAAGAAGGCGGGTGGAGGATTGATGGAGGATGGGTGGAAAGTTCGGTAGGAGAGTCCATCCATTCATCCATCCATCCATCCATCCATCCATCCTTACTGTACTGCCTCAGTCTTCTCCTTGTCTACATTAAACCCCACCTCCCCTCTTCCGTCCTTCATCACCTCCTCCTCGCTGTACACAGTGGTCACTGATTGATGTCCTATTAAGCTGGTTAGTAATTCACCAAGGACTTATGACAACCTGTCTGACTGACTAACATACACTGCTGATCATCTTATAACCTCATAAGAGTCCTGCTGCTGTGTGACCGTTGGGCCTGTGTGTGTGTGTGTGTCTGGTTGTGCGTGATTGGCTTAATTACTTAATTACTGTATATGTAAGCAGAGCAAGTGATGTCATGATGTCAAAATCTTGAAGAGTCATATCTTTAGGTTTTGTAAAATATTAATAAGTGAACATGACAAAGGCTATCCAGAAACTTAAGTAGGAACAGTGATAGGTGTCATTTAAATGAAAATGTGCATCAAAGTCTATTTTCTATATAAACCACAGTCACTTTCTCAGTGATGGTGGAGTCTCAAGGTACTTGAATCCACTCATGTTATGAAAGTCTCTGCAGAAGGAATGTCACCATAAAAACACAAAGACATTCTTTCATCACCCCTGTGATTCACTGTGATTCAGAAAGATGTTACTCTGGTTGTGTAACAGCAATCATAAAAGCTGACTGCTGCTGGGTAGGCAGACTGGTCCATAACACCAACACAGCTGTGAGTTCATTCAGTCTAATGTGTGTGTGTGAGAGAAGAGTGTGTTCACACAGTACGTGTGTGTATGTGTGCATGAGGTCAGAGAGAAAAAGCATTGTCAAAGGGATGTTTTTTTTCTTTTTGTGTGTTCATGTGTTTTTGAACTTGTGAGTGAGTTGATGAATGTAAAGAAAAATAAATGAAATGCAAAAACCCATCCATAACTAAGTGCATTTGTGCACATGTTGGTGTTTGTGTGTGTGGTTATAGAAAACAAAGTGTCACTATGTATCTCATTATCACACGTGTCAGTGACGAAAGGATGAGAGTAGAGATTAGAGACACACTGACCAGTCAAGGTGTGGGCATCATTTTGTCTTTGTCATCCCCTAATCTCTGCCTTCTAACACCCACCGCTGCATTTTCAGTGTGGCTGGTCGGCAAACTACAGTCCTAATATGGCCTAGATTCCAACCTGCAATCCTTCAGTTACAAGCGTCCACCTTTAACCACTAGAGAGTGAACTGTTGTCTGGTTGTTATCAAGTATGAACGCAGCAATTGAACTGTATTTTGGAGCTGACTGACTGGATGAAATCACAGTCTTTTTCCCATCTGTCTGACTGTAGCCTAACTTTCAGTGGGTCAGGCAGGTAAATCAGTAGGCACTGACGCCTCAAGGTGCTTTTCCTCACAGGTTTATTCCATTTCCTCCTGACAGTTCCAGATTAGTGACTTGTGCACTAACAGTGAAGGAATCAAACACGAGACCTTATCCTAAAAAAATACTACCTCTCTAGTGAGTCAAGGCTAATGAACATATTAGTGTGTGTGTGTGTGTGTGCATGTGTGGGTAGTAGATTTGTTGTTGTGTATGACATTTGTCAATTTGAGTGGTTATCCCAGGGGCATGTTATCAGCCACTGTGTCACCTCTACCCAAAGAACAACAGGAGGATCAGTAATGTTAAACACATTCATGTGGCTCTGATTCTAGTCAGGTTTGACACTCCGAGAACCGAGAGATAATGAGAGAGAGGTAGGAGAGATCAATTAATTGTATTGATGGTCAGAATATAGTGTAGGCAGTATGTGACTGGTTGTGAGGTGACCCAGCATGATGTCAGCCTTCAGGGCAGTCTGTACATCCAGGCCTGCATTAAAAGAAACCACATACAGTAGAACATACAGTACATCTCACTGGGCTCCTTCAGCTCCATACACTACGTGTGGATAGGGGTGTTTGTAAGGAAGGTGTTTAAGGATGTGAGATGTTGGTGTGAAGTATGTGAGGTCAGTTGGTTTAGAGCAGTTTGTTCCTGTGCTCACTCACTGTACAGGTTTATTTGTGTGAGTATGTATGCGTTTGTGTGTGAGCAGGAGTTTCAACAAAGTTCTTCCAAACAAAAATGCCATTATTATTATTATTATTATTATTATTATTATTATTATTATTATATAAAGTTCTTAGGGTTGCTTTCCAACTGTTAATAGTACGACTATTTTGGTCAGGATAATCCTGATTTGAATTAATGATAGGTTAGATTCTCTCTCTGTCTCTCTTTCTGTGTGTGTGTATGACTTGTGGCTGTATTACAGAGCACTCCCCTCATTAGGAGTCATTTCCTTGCTTTTCAGCACTGTAACTCTTCTTCATTAGCATTAGTTAAATATAGAATCTGTCTTGCTGCAGCTAACATTTATATCCATGTGTGTTGCTAACGTCTATCAAAAGGAAGTGCACACTTAAGACAATCAGCAGATCATAAAAGCCTAATAGTGAGAGTTGAAGACTTAAAGTGAGCGCTTATAATTGGGCAAATAAATACATTTTACAGAACACAGACACTTTGATATTTAAGGATTTATATATTTGGATGTTTCTTTTTATTGAATTTAAGGATACCATTTAACAGACGTGAAAAAATCCACAAACACAAGAAAGGAGGAAAAAAAAATAGAAATCAATGATTTAAAAAAACAACAAATACGCAGGCCATAGTAAATATTCTCAACATATAATATATCTATAATATAGTAAATGAACAAATGTTTTTGAATTTTTGCTCTTATCCTTATCCCACATATCTGTACTTTTCTATTCGAAATCTACCTTCCAATGTTTATGGGATGGGGTACTGTGATATTTAAGGATGACTATAGATTAAAGGTGGAAAAAAACACACATCAGAAAGCGTTAAACATACGTCAACCTGCAGGGGCGCTGCTACCTGCTTGTATTTTCCCCTTTTTTTGACTGACTGGTCTTTACCTGGTTTTTACCTCTCTTGTTGCACATCTTGCACATCTGGACCAGTTTCTCTAAATTAGAAGAGATTGAACTCTAGAGAACCACAGGAGCTCTGTTTTTGGTTTTCATTTATAATTTTAAAAATGTTTGTAGAAAGTGGAACAATTTACTTAGCAATAACTACTCTGTGTGTAATTTTAACATTTATTGAAAATATTCGTCATCCTTGGAAAACAGTTATCCTTTCACTGCCTAATACGAAGTCTCATGTCCGCATTGGCCAGTTCATTTTAACTAACAGTTTAAACTTAGCAGTTTAAATAAAATAATAACACTTTATTCTTTCCAAAAAGTCTGACAAGGGATTATCTTTACAGTCAGGGGGTAAGTGACACGTTTAAAAAAGTTAATCCTTTAGTCCACCTTTAAATGTTCAGTTTTCTTTATTAGCGTTTATGTAATGGCTCGACTGAATACTAACTGTATTTTTCATTTCTTTTAGTATTTTCTTTAATTCAACGTGTTTCTCCTGCACCTTATTTTACATACAGCACAGCCTGCTGCCTTGACAACTGTGGCCATGGAGACTTGTGGAGTATCCACAGAGCAGCCTCTTTACAGCAGAGCGAGGTGGAGAGAGAAAGAGAAAGAGGGGGGGGGGGGGGGGGGGGGGTAAGAAAGTAGATAAGCAAAAAAAAAAAAGACAAATGAATACACAAGAAAGAGGACCAAAAGAGAGGATTAAGATTTTAAGGTTAAGATTTTGCATCAGTTTAACTGAAAATGAGGCCGGAAAAAAGGACAAAAAATGAATACAGAAGAAACAATTAAAAAGAGAACGGAGATGGACTAAGTCAGTGTAAAACTTTGATTTTGTTTGAGTTTTTGAGTTTTTTCAGTTTTCTAGAGTCATTGATTTATGGATGCAGACTAAAGGAGTCACATCATGTTGTTGTGTAGTGACACCATTTAGTTCAGCTGTTCTAGTTGCATTCATCATCATGGTGGCTCTTCTGACATTGTTCATAAATCAATCAATCAATAAATAA